CCGGGCAGAGCAGCTCTGCCCCGGGCTTCCTGGAATCAGCCTCTGATCAGTTTCAGCAGCAGCTGACTTGGGGATGCCTGGGGTTCTTAAGTTGAATCTGTATGTAAGTTGGAACTGGCGTCCAGATTCAGCCGCTGTTGAAACTGATCGGTTTCAGCAGTGGTTGAATCTGGACGCCAGTTCCGACTTACATACAGATTCAACTTAAGAACAAACCTACAGTCCCTATCTTGTACCTAACCCGGGGACTGCCTGTAATAGCTAATGGCTCAGATACTTCCCCAGTCGGCACTCTGATTATTCTAGGTTGCATTTCACAAGTCCTGGTGACTTGAAGACATCTCACTTTTCTAAGTCATTTTTATACTTGTTCTTTTCCTATTTTAATTTATGAACCTATCCCATTTTCACTGACATTCACTATATTAGGTGTCCAGTCACCACCAAACTTCCTGGCGAAAACTGAAACAAAAGTCATTAAGCACCTTTGCTATTTCCACATTTTCTGTTATTGTTTTTTCCACTTCGTTGAGTAGCGGTCAGATGGTATCATTGGTCTTCCTCTTCTAATGCATTTATAGAATGTTTCCTTATTACCTTTTATGTTTTGCTAGTATGAGTTTGTTTTGTGCCTTGGCTTTTCTAATTTTACCCCTGTATACTTGTGTTATTTGTTTATATTCATCCTTTGTAATTTGACCTAGTTTGCACTTTTTGAAGACTCTTTTTTTTTATTTTTAGATCATTCAATATCTTGTAATTAAGCCAGGGTTGTCTCTTGCCATACTTCCTATCCTTCCTACACAGTGGAATAGTTTGTTCTTGTGCTCTTAATAATATCTCTTTGAGAAATTGCCAACTGTCTTAAATTGTTTTTTCTCTGAAATTAGCTTCCTATGGGATCTTACCTACCAACACTGTGAACATGCTCAAGCCTTCTAGAAATCCATTACCTTTATTTTGCTATTCTCTTTCCTACCATGTCATAGAATCATGTTGATCCTTAGAATCAACTAGTTATTTTGTAGAGGTTTTTTTCACTTTCACAGGTGGCAGGCAAGAATATTTCCATAGAGGTTGACACCAGGGAGTACTCATAGAACCAAGTGACTCTTTCATCACACACATCTCTCATGTGACTAAACACTGGAATGGAAAAATGGAAACTGAGGCTATTTCCAAAGTAGGGCTTTGCAAACAACAATGCTGCTTCCTAACTGATGGGTCGGCTTTTAGAATGAGCAATAAATTATCTCTGGACAAGAGAAAAGGCACAACTTACATATTATGAATGATTTTTAAAGTTCTCTTAACTGAAAGGACAATTCAGCTTTACAGTTGTGTTAAAATGAGTATTAAAAAGTAATCTATGTTTTCTTCTTTTCATTTTCCAGGATTACGATTGAAAATATCCAAACTGAAAAAGGAAAGGTGTTTGTAAGTACCTACCTATATTCCACATATATTTCATAGGGAAAAGTTTTAACCGGTAATAAAGTGTAATTCCTACATGATGAGTTGAAGATTTGAGGATTGATCCTGCAGATTCACTTGGGTAGCAAGGTGGAAGTTAGTTATATACATATATAAAATTTGCAGGAGCTGTAACCTGAACTACAGTTCTCCATCATTCACATGAATAGCTGGTGATGCAGTCTCCCATGGTATTTCTAGTGTGCCCATCAAGGATGTTAATTCAAATATGAAGAAAAAAAAAAGAAAAAGACAACCTTATTTTTTAAAGTAAGTTCACTTCTGTACATAATGAAGGAACTGCAAGTGGCAGAACTATGTTTTAAAATTTTGTGCCTTGCAATTTACCTTTTAATACTGCCTCCACTAAGCTGGGTCATACATAGTGATTTGTATAAAGAACTCCAGGCTGAAGGCGTATGCACTCCTCTGCTCTGCAAAATTTAGTTTTACTCTTTTTTTAAACAATATTGAATATGGCTTATTTCACACACAAACTAGAGAATGTTCATTTTAACCTATATAATAGACGTAAACATAATAAAATCCATGTACTACACTTACACAATTAAAACAGCTTGGTTCTAGGGCTCCCTCCAGATTACATAAT